TGGTTTGTATTTATCCACCCATGGTTCATTTTCAGACAGATATTCTTTTGAATTTTCGAGACCATAAATGTGTTCTGATGGCTGTTCTCTTTTTCTAGCTGGAAATCTGCTACTTTCTAATCTTGAAGGCACATTTTTCCTTCTGTGACTTGAGTTATTCACACCTAATGATGTGGCGGTAATAGAGATGCACGTACTCTCTGAAAAATCATCAAATGATGGGTCTACCCAGTCTGTTACCTGAAAAAAAATCATATAAGCATTACATTATCTGCATTTATTCCCTACATAAGTACTCTACAAAAAAAAAAAAAAATTGACATATTTGCAACATTTTAAATAAAAACCTCAGAAACTAGTTCTTTAAATTAAGACTGGCACAGTACATATTATTTTTTTTACTTCATGGTTGGTACATATACATATTTGTCCACTTGACCAGGGAAAAGACGAATGCCATATAAAGGAATATAGAATACAAACTTAATTTTTTTACTAATAATCTTCCCAGTATAAAACACACTGATTCTTCTTAAGCTCATTTGTAGGACTGAAACATGAATATTAAAATTATGTACCAAAAAAGAAGCAAAACAAAGAAATAAAATATTATTTTAACCATATATAACTGTACAAAGAGTAAACCTGCCTTGTCCTGGTTAATACATTCACAAACCAAGAACCATTGCATATAGCTAAATAATCCCTAGCATCTTTAGGACTTGGAGAAGATAAAGCCTAAGAATCTTAATGCTATGAATATTTTGTAAATCATGATTATATTACTCTTCAGCCCATAAAGGAAATACTATTTTCGTAAAAGGGAAGCAGGCTTTCCAGGGAGGATGATTTGTTTACCAGATTCATCTAAGAAAACAAAACTGGGATAAAAGAGCAGGAAAGTCAGTGAGTCCTACCTCATGTTCTTCTGGTCTATAGAAATTGCTGATCTTTCTCTACATTTCCCTCTAACGTTACCTTTTTTATTTTTTTATTTCTATTTATTTTTAAGATTTTCTTTATTTATTTATTCATGAAAGACACACAGAGAGAGAAAGAGAGAGAGAGGCAGAGACACAGGCAGAGAGAGAAGCAGGCTCCATGCAGGGAGGCCGACGCGGGAATGGATCCCGGGACCCCAGGATCACGCCCTGCGCCAAAGGCAGGAGCTAAACCACTGAGCCACCCAGGGATCCCCATCATTACCTTTTTTAAAGAATCCTTTCAAAATACACACGGAGAAAGATGATGAATCAAACAATTTAAACCCAAAACTACTTAGGAGTCTTAAAAACTTTTCTTTTAGCAACTAAATTTATTTTTTTTAAGATTTTATTTATTTATTCATGAAAGACAGACAGAGCGAGAGGCAGAGACACAGGCAGAGAGAGAAGCAGGCTCCATGCAGGTAGCCCGATGTGGGACTCGATCTCGGGACCCTAGGATCATGCCATGGGCCAAAGGCAGGTGCTAAACCACTGAGCCACTCCGGGATCCCCAGCAACTAAAATTTTTAAGATGAATTTTCTTAACATTCCCATGCTATAAATATAAAAACTTAGCTTAGTACATGGCTTTTGAAATTCCTTGGCTGGCTAGTAGGGAGGAATCAAGATTATATTTCTCCTGAAGAATACTCAGCCATAGTTGTGAACTATTTGTTACACAATGCTGAGGAAAAGCAAGCTGGGGGTTAGAACTATCTTAGGAATGAAAGTCACACTTCACACCCCCTTTAAGGAGAGAAGGTTAGGAATATTATTGTCAGTGAGAAAAGAAATGAAGACCTATGGGGAAAAATTTCAGTCATAGCCAAATAATTAATTTCTTATTCTTCAAGACTGTTCATAATACTACAATTTTGGCTCTTCTATTTTTAAGAATATGGGGGCATTTTTAAGAATGGGTGGCTCAGTTGGTTAAGCTTCTGCTCAGGTGGATCTCAGAGTCCTGGGATGGAGCCCCACCTGTGAAGTGTGCTTCTCCCTCTCCCTCTGCCTTCCCCCAGCTCCTGCTGGTGCTCTCTCAAATAAACAAAATCTTAAAAAAAAAATAAAAAAATTAGAGTATGCAGGGGTACCTGGGTGGCTAGTCGGTTGAACCTTGACTCTTGGTTTCAGCTCAGGTGGTGATCTTAGGGTCGTGAGATTGAGCAGAGCCTGTTTAAGACTCTCTCTTCCTCTGCCTCTCCCCTGGCTCACTGAAACTCTCTCAAAATAAATAAATAAATAAATCTTGAAAAAAAAAAGAATATGCAAAAATATGTTATATTAAACCTTTTGATAGCAAATCTGATCTTGCAATTCTGATCTCAAGTTACTTATACATTTTATAAGTTTGTTTCTTACATAAATGTGGACTCCTATTTACTTGGGGGGGGGGGAGGGAGAAACAGTGAAGTTTAATAATTTACTTAGGATCAGAGAAAAACGGGACCCACCACTAGGAAAATACCCTGTAAATGACCATGACACTGAATGACCCCCATCCTACTCTACCACTAGCCTTGCTGAAAAAAACATATGATTTTTACGAGGCAGGGCTTGTGGTTAAGCTTTATTTTTATTTATCTGTTTTTTTAAGATTTTCCTTATTCATTTATTTGAGAAAGAACGAGACAGACCGGGAGGAAAGGGGCAGAGGGGGAGGGAGAGAGAGGAAGAGAATGCTAAACAGACTCAGCACTGAGCACACAATCCACTGCAGAGTTCAATCCCACAACCCCCGAGATCATGACCTGAACCAAAACCAAGAGTCTGATGCTCAACTCACTGAGCCTCCCCCTCGTTCCTCTCCCTGTCCGACACCTCTTGTTGTCATACATCAACACTACCTACGACTCATATATTTCTTTTTACTGATTTTTCATTCAAGAGATTTCAGCCTTTCTTTGTGACAGAGATGGCAAACACTTTTTCAAAAATTAACGTTGTGCTGGGGATCCCTGGGTGGCGCAGCAGTTTGGCGCCTGCCTTTGGCCCAGGGTGCGATCCTGGAGACCCGGGATGGAGTCCCACGTCGGGCTCCCGGTGCATGGGGCCTGCTTCTTCCTCTGCCTGTGTTTCTGCCTCTCTCTCTCTCTCTCTGTGTGACTATCATAAATAAATAAAAATTTAAAAAAAATTAACGTTGTGCTTTTAGTCATTTCACGATTTATTATTACAATTTTTAGACCACCAATTAGAACGTTACTGGGCCTCGCTGCTTTAATGGCATTAAGAACATGCAGAAAAATCATTATTTGGAGGCAATTATGACATAGCCATTTTAGCGTATCATACCTTTGTGGAAGATACCTTTGGTCTAAGAAAAGTTTTTGACATTATAAACTGTAATAGCTCCCATCCGTAGTATGCAACCTGTAGTACATTAAAGTATAATTCACCTAAGGGAAACAAAAGGGGAGAGAGAGAAAAAAAAAACTCAAATGAGGAAAAAATAGGAAACAGAAATATAGTGATATAAACCTAATCTGCAGTATGATAAAGGCTCAAGAACTAGTGAGACAAAAAAAACAAAAAACAAAAAAACTAGTGAGATGACGTCAACATAGGTGAAGGAGTCCAAAATGCTAAAATAAAGTTTACTTTAAAAAAATAAATAAAATTAAAAAATAAATAAAGTCTACTTTTAATTACTATAAATGAGTCAAATAACCCTGAAGGGGTATCAACAGCACGTGAACTCAATAATGTATTACAGAAAGCGCAAAAAAAAAAAAAAAAGAAAACAGAAAAACCACATACTCGACATGTCACCAGTGAGAAAACCAGACAATTCTCTCTGCGTGGTTCCTGTGCTGAAAGTTTGAATTTCCCTCATTTTATTTTATTTATTTTTAATTTCCCTCATTTTAAATTACAGTTCCAGGTTACCCAAATCCCCGCAAAATTTCAAAAAAACAAAAAAAGCAACCCCAAACAGCAACCTCACCAGGTAACAAATCCACTTGTACTTACTTTGGGAAAAGACTTTAAACCTGACCGTTCACGACCCTTGTGACCGACGGGGAGAGCCGGGGGCCGCGCTGGGTCTCCGACCCCGACCGAGCCCGGCGTCCGCGGCAGCCGGGGGCTCAGCAGGGGGTTCGGGGCGCGGGGTCGGCAGGTGCGCACCCGCGGCGGGGACGCACGGGCGGCGCGTGTAGGGCGTGCAGGCTTCCACGCGCGACAAACCAAGCGCTCGCGGTGCGAGGGGCCTCGGCTCTGAAGGTGCAGAAAACACGTTCGGAGGAGCCGCCGCCGGCAGGGCTGCTCTCACGGCCGGGGCGCCAGTCGCTCTGTGAAAGCGAGACCGACAGTTACCTCCTTTCAGAAAGAAGCCGAGGGTCCCGGGTGACGTCAGGTTCCGGCGGTGGAAGCGACCCTGGAGCGCGGCGCCGGGCGACCCCCCCCCCCCCCCGCGCCGCGGAGCCGAGGCCCGGGCGCTGCCCGTCGGGGGCCCTGAGGCGGCGAGAGCCGAGCCCCGACCGCGGCCAGCAGGGTGCACCCCCAGCGCTCGGCCGCAAGGGGAGGGAAGGGCAGCTCGGAGGACGAGCGTCGGGGACGCGGGCCGGCGCGGGGGCGGACACGGGATTCACGACGGGGCCGCGACCCGGCGGCCTTACTTTCCGGGAGCTGCATCCCCTCGTGGGCGGAGAGGAGCGGACGAGCCCGGGCTCTGCTCCCGTCCAAGGACCCGCTCCCGGCCCCGCTCGGGCCCAGCGCCGAGCCTGTCGGAGGTCCCGCCCCCCGGGGGCCTTCGGGGCCGGCCGGCGCTTCCGCGACGCGCGGAGAAGGGCGGCCTCCGACGGAGCCGGGCTGGGGCGTCTCCCGCACTGCCCGACCTGGAGCGAGGCCCCGGCCTGCGCCCCGCGCCTCGGCGTCCGCGCCGCCAGCGTGCGCTCGGGGGCTCGCGGACCAGCACTCGGGCACGGGCGGCGGGCGGGGGCCGCGAGCGCCGCGCGGGGCGGTGACGAGCCGGGGGCCGCGGGCGCCCGCCGCAGCCCGCCCCTTCCGGCCCCTCCCGCTGTGCGTGCCGTGCGTCAGCCGCCGGCGGCCGGAGCCAGCGCGCCGAGGACCATGTTGCTCCCGAACATCCTGCTCACCGGTCAGGCGCGCGGCGGGCGGGCGGGGGGCGGCGGGCAGGCGAGGCAGGCGGCGGGCGCCGCTTGCCGTGGGGCAGCGGGGCAGGCGGGGGGCGCCCCGGGGGTGCCGACCGGTGCTGGGTCCCGGGGTGCTGGGCGGTCCTCCGGCCGCTGCGGGGCGGGGGTGGGGGCGGGGGCACCGCGGCTCCAGGCCGCTCGGGGGCGCGGACAGGCCCCGGTCACCTTTCTGGACACTCCCGGATCTTACCTACTCTGTTTTTTGATTGCAAATTTTTTTTTTTTTTTTTTTTTTGCCGAGATGACGTAAGGCCCGGGCCGACCCTTGGCCGGTCGTAGTGCTCGGCGCCTTCCCTTAGGCCTTCCCGGGCCGTTTCGCATTTCCTTTTGTATCCGACGGTCACATTTGGGTCAGAGGGTTCGGATATTTATGAACGTAGGGCGATTATCTTCACCGTGTTCGTGTGTTGAGCTGACATTGGAAGCTTTCCGACTGTGAAGTTCCCGGGGCGATAGCTGTCTTCCATACTGGTTACGTTTTTTTCTATGAATAAGTTCTTAACTAAAAAAAAAAAAAAAGTAAAGCAAATAAACGATATTAGTTTGAGATAGCTGGGATTCTGGGAGAATCTGTTTCGGGGGCGGGCGGGTCTGCAAGTCGGTATCCGAGTCACCCAGGCCCCCCTCGTGCTAAACCAGGTGACACTCGGTGAGATCCTGTTAGGCGGCAGGTTTTGAGCCGTTTGATAAGATCGCAGAGTGTATTAGTTCACAGAGGATTAATTGGGACATTTTTCATTTCAGTGTTTTCTTTTTTTTTTTTTTTAAAGACCTTAAAAAGGGGAGATGGGTTGGTAAAGTCTAAGGAGCGTGTTTCACGACCAGTAAGTACTGTCCTGTGGCTTGTCTTACAGGTACCCCGGGGGTTGGAAAAACCACACTAGGCAAAGAACTTGCATCGAGATCAGGACTGAAATACATTAATGTGGGTGATTTAGCTCAAGAAGGTAAGGGATACTTTGGTGTTGGTTTTTTTCAAACAAGAGTCGATGGTAGAGTGTTTGGTGCTGTCCTTGTGAGGGGACACAAGAAGCCGAGACAGGGCAGACCGGGTGGCCCAGCAGTTTGCTTGCCTGTGGCCCAGGGCATGATCCTGGAGTCCTGGGATTGAGCCCCATGTTGGGCTCCCTGCATGGAGCCTGCTTCTCCCTCTACCTGTGTCTCTGCCTCTCTCTGTGTCTCTCATGAATAAATAAATAAAATCTTAAAAAAAAAAAAAGAAAGAAAAGAAAAGCTGAGATAGAGTGCCGTTAAGGAATCCATACTCCATTGGGATCCCTGGAAAGAGAAATTAATAAAGTGTATGGTACTCTGTCCCAGTGATGTTGAACATGATCCCTCATCCTGCCCCACCCTGTTGGCCAGGAGTTTTTCTGAATGGTAGTAATTGGGAAGGCTTCCTTAAAAGAGACGGACGGGACTTGGGGAGAATGTTTTTGAGGTGGGCAGACACATAAAGGTTTGCATGGTACAAAGCCTACCTGTGGAGACAGTGAGTAGAGATATCACTGGAAGGACAGGTTACTTGGAGCTCACTACGACATGACATTTCTGTGGTTTCTTTTCAGATTAGATAGTTGCATGCCCACACACAACTGCACATTATTCTACAGTGATAAATGTTTTTATTTATTTTACCCAGTTTTCCCCTGCTCTTTTGTCACCTCCTTATTTGTGTCTTTAGTTTTTTTTTTTATTCTGTGATTTGTACAGAATAGAAATTCAATAAATTTAAGTAAAGATAACTTCAAAGTGTGCCTCATTAAAAAGATTTGACATTAAGAAATTTTAAATATATTTTCAAAAATTTAACAGTATTTAAAATTTTTAAAGTTCCTGACAGTTGCTACTACAGTAACTATTTCAGGTTTGATCTAATGTACGTATTTTTTTCAAATGGTCTAAAGTCTGATCAACAGATATCATGGAGTCTGGCAAGATGGCTTCTCCCAAGAGCATGCCGAAAGATGCACAGATGATGGCACAAATCCTGAAGGATATGGGGATTACAGAATATGAACCAAGAGTTATAAATCAGATGTTGGAGTTTGCGTTCCGATATGTGACCACAATCCTAGATGATGCAAAAATTTATTCAAGCCATGCTAAGAAGGCTACTGTTGATGCAGACGATGTGCGGCTTGCCATTCAGTGTCGTGCTGATCAGTCTTTTACCTCTCCTCCCCCAAGAGATTTTTTGTTGGATATTGCAAGGCAAAGAAATCAAACTCCTTTGCCGTTAATCAAGCCATATTCAGGCCCCAGGCTGCCACCTGATAGATATTGCTTGACGGCTCCAAACTATAGACTTAAGTCTTTACAAAAAAAGGCATCAACTTCTGCGGGAAGAATAACAGTTCCACGGTTAAGTGTTGGTTCTGTTACTAGCCGACCAAGTACTCCCACTCTTGGTACACCAACCCCACAAACCATGTCAGTGTCAACTAAAGTAGGGACTCCCATGTCCCTCACAGGGCAGAGGTTTACAGTACAGATGCCCACATCACAGTCCCCAACTGTAAAAGCATCAATTCCTGCCACATCCACAGTTCAGAATGTTCTGATTAATCCATCATTAATTGGGTCCAAAAACATTCTTATCACTACAAACATGGTGTCATCACAAAATACTTCCAATGAATCATCAAATGCATTGAAAAGAAAACGAGAAGATGATGATGATGATGACGATGATGACGATGATGACTATGATAATTTGTAATCTAGCCTTGATGCTGTAACCTGTAAACTTGGTCTTAAATCCATTGTACTGAGATTAAACGTGCATGCTGGGTATTTTCTAGTTGTGTTGTAGAAAACTTAAATGGTATTTAATGAGTAAATATAGTTATCCTTTCCTATTGAGATGTTGGGTTTTCTTTAATAGGATTAGTAATGGTTATTCATTAGCCTTTAAGTGTGAAAAATAAAATTGTTGTTCATCAGTTTGGTCGTTGGTACTTTGGCAGTTATGTTTTTAGAAGCAGTTCTCTTACGTGTCACCAGCAGGAATAGCAGTGACGACAACTTGAAGTTGTGGTCTATTCATAAACACTAGAGCGGTACTTCTAGTACCTTCAGATATTTAGATCACAGTATCATCCCTGGTGTATAAATCACTCTTAGGGCCTCATTGAGATTGCTGAAGTTTAACCGTGTCTCTTTTTTGGAGAGTCCACTTCATCTGTTTGGATTTCTCTTCAGTTACTCAGTTTCTTCCTAGGTCCTATTTATCTCTGGTTATATTTAAGGACTCTTCGTGCCTCCCAGTATGTCCCCATTTTAAAACTTAAATTTTTTTTTCCCATTATCCCATTTTGCAGGTTATTGTACATCTTGGCTTTTTCGTGTATTTGATAGTATCATGCTCGTATTTTTAGTCCAGGTCTGGTATTTAAGTATAGTTAAAATTTAGGTATTTTTTTGCTGTTTTACATGGCTAGTCAGTCTCCGTTTTATACCTGTATAAAATCTGGTTTTCTTCCCTTGTCTGTTGAACTCCGTCTTTCTCAAGTGATTTCAGAGTCACAGAGTTGTCAATTTCAGCCTCCCTGTTTATCTTACCCACTGAATTTACCATTTCTAAACTTAATGAGGTTGGTATAATCTATCATGAGTAGTACGGAGAGGAACAGTAACCCTAGACATTTGGTTCCTTTCATACTTTTACTCAACACTGTTTTAGCCAGTGTGTGTACACCTTAGGGTGTGTAGTCCCAGGTGTCCTCTGTATTTTTAAAGCTTTTATTTTTTTTAAAGATTTTATTTATCCATGTGAGAGCAAGCCTGGGTACTAGTGGGAGGAGGGGCAGAGGGAGAGGGAAAGCAGGGAGCCCGATGAAAGGGGGATCGTGACCCAGCTGAAGGCAGATGCTTAACCAGCTGAGCCACGGAGGCACCCAACATTCTCTAGATTTTATTGAAATTATTTAATGAGTTAGAATCTAAGCCTTAAAGGAAAAGTTGGGGTTCCCCCCTTAACAATACCAGATGAAGGATTTCTGCCTGACTTAATATGTGTTAGATGTGGTTCTTGATAAGGTTTTTCATAATGTACCAGACTGGTTTTGTTCACGGATGCCACTTGAATATATCTGAAAATTTAACCAGAGAACATTCCAAAATAAAATCTTAATTAGAAAATACACTGAGACACCTGTCCTCCTCGTTTTTCTCAAATAGTGATATATTTTGGGATGCCTGGGTGGCTCAGTGGTTGAACATCCACCTTCAGCCCAGGGTGTGATCCTGGGGTTCTGGGATTGAGTCCCACATCAGGCTCACTGCATGGAGCCTGCTTCTCCCTCTGCCTATGTCTCTGCCTCTCTCCTTGTATCTCTCATGAATAAATAAATAAAATCTTAAAAAAAATAGTGATATATTTTAAGGGAAACCATGTAATCATCTATAAGGCAGTGGCTCTCAGGTGTGATTTTGCCCTTCAGGGGATATTTGGCAATTTCTGGAGACTTGATAGTCAGACTGGGGTGGAGGCCAGGGATTCTTTTGAACATCCTACAATTCATAGAATACCCTCCACTCCCATAAAAGAATTACCAAGCTCAAAATGTCAGTAGTAGTGAGATTGGGACACCCTGGTATAAAGAAACAAGATGAGGGCAGCCGCCTGCAGCCCAGGGCGTGATCCTGGAGACCCAGGCTCGAGTCCCACATCAGGCTCCCTGCATGGTGCCTGCTTCTCCCTCTGCCTGTGTCTCTGCCTCTCTCTCTCTCTCCCTAGCTGTGTCTCTATGAAGAAATAAATAAAATCTTTAAAAGAAAAAAAAAGAAACAAGACCAAAAACAAAAACCACCCTCGTTTTAAATCTATCCAAATGGAGTTTATTGCCAGTCTAGTAATCCTGTTGAATTGCTGTATTATTTGTAAGAGACCATTCTTAGGCCATTTAGAACCAAGGCAGGAAAAATTAGGTGGGGAATTTAGTTCAATAATATTGGGAATCCTGATATGGTGTGGCTAAGAATGCTTTTTTTACCTTTGTTATTCCAGTCTCAGATTCCTCCTCACTTGATAGCCTTTCCCATATGTAATCACTTAGCAACAACACCCTTAATTTTCCTGCCACATGTTTATCAGTTTTCAGCCCCTGTGGGTAAACCCCAGGAGTCCCACAGGTCTAGACAAAGTATCACATTAACTTTGGATCCATTGGAAACTGGTTGTAAACCATAGCTGAGCCCTCAACACTTAAATTTGTGATCTTTTTCTACCCCAGAAGTTGGCAAGCTGCTGCTGTTTTTTATAGGAACCACGTGAGCTGAAGACTAGTCCACAAAGCCTGAAGTATTTACTGTCTGGCGTTTTAACAGAAAAAGTTTGCCAGCCCCACTCTAACCTCGTCTTTATCTAATTTTTTACCTTCCTTGGAAGGCTTTGAAACTACCCTCTCCAGTGCTGTTGTCTCCCAGTCTGCGTGTGATCCTCTCCCTCCCACCCTGTACCTCCTTCTCCTGACTTCACGCCAGCTGTGTTGTGATTTTGCCGTTCCCTTTAGTAATCTCATTCACTCTAGACTAGTCACTCCCTTTTAAAAGAGGCTAGTTTCTAGACACCCACTAAAGGCAACTACCTTGGTAGTTGCCAGACTAATAGGCTGAAAAAGCAGCATATACTTACCTGCCCACTTTTGATTCCTGTTCCCCACACATAGAAATGCATTCTAACGCTACACAGATGCACTTGCCCTGAAAATCTTGATGGTTTGCCTGAAAAATTGCTATGGTACCCCATTCCATCTTCAAGCCCATTTCTGCTGAGTCTTACACTCTTCAATAACTATTCCTTCCCTCCTCATTATATCCTTTTAAAAAAAAGGAGAAGGAATAAACAAGACTTGAACTTTTTTCTGATAAAGTCCATCCTCTATAATGACATAGGTGATGAACTGGTCATAGTTTACCTTCAGCTTTCCCTGCAGCCAGTCCC